ACCAGAAAACTTGTGGAGTCTGGAAGAACATGCACGTCATGGTCCACTGACTGGAGATTCATTTTTATTTGCTTTAGCAGCAATCATCATCTTCTTCCTGTTTGACAAGGAACATGATCAGATCCTGCCCACCATTTTCTGTATCATGATGACCTTGGGCCGATGTCCAAAGAGCACTCAGGTCCTGGCCAACTGACTGAAGACTCCATTTTATTTGCTTTACCAGCAACCATCATTGATAATGAGTAAGACCAAATCGTCTGCTCCTGCTATGACTTTGACTTTATTGGGATCCACACTTAGCTTACAACAAATGTAGCTATTCTTCCTGTGGTCCTTCAAGACACACATGACACATTTACAAAACATAAATACATTGGCAATTACGACAGATTAAAATAAGGCTATAGACATGTACATAGGTCACCAAGGTCAGAGGTCACCAAGATGGCTGCACACTAATTGCTCACCATTTTCTGTATCATGATGACCTTGGGCCCGATGTCCTTGTGCACCATGAACAGCTGCGGTAGCCTCACGAAGGAGAACCCCAGCGTGATGCAGTACATGACCCGCACGACCTCGAACCCTGACCCCGCCGACACCGTCACGTGCAGGACCAGTGAGAGCAGAAACATCAGGAGGAGACCACAGTCCATCATGTTCCAGAAATCCCCGAACCAGATCTGGATCTTGTGCCAGAACGAGCGAGGGCGCTCCGCTAGGATCTGCATGGGGAGAAAAGTAATCGGAGATCACAGATCTTTCAGGATCTGCAGATGAACAGAATACACTACAGCTGATCTGCATCTTGTGCCAAAATGAGCGCGGGTGCTCTGCTAGGATCTGCATGGGGAGATGTAGAGAGATTTACAGGTGCAGTAATAGGTGCAGTAACAGGTGCAGTAACAGGTGCAGTAACAGGCGCAGTAGCAGGCGCAGTAGCAGGCGCAGTAGCAGGCGCGGTAGCAGGCGCGGTAACAGGCGCGGTAGCAGGCGCGGTAACAGGTGCGGTAACAGGTGCAGTAACAGGTGTAGTAGCAGGTGCAGTAACAGGTGCAGTAACAGGTGCAGTAACAGGTGCAGTAACAGGTGCAGTAACAGGTGCAGTAACAGGTGCAGTAACAGGTGCAGTAACAGGTGCGGTAGCAGGTGCAGTAACAGGTGCAGTAACAGGTGCAGTAACAGGTGCAGTAACAGGTAGTTTCTCACCTGCCTGAGCTCCTCCACCAGCAGACTGGCCAGCCAGGCGATGGTGAGCCACTCCAAGATGCCGATCGGCTCCTCCTCCAGCGGATGCAGGTCTGTCAGGATGAACACGCTGAAGATCACCAGGAACGCCACGTAGAACACCTGAGCAAACAACAAACACCTGAACAAACCACACAAGTACCGAGGACTAACAACCTGAATGCCATGTAGAACACAAGAAAAACCACAGTCATTGTACTTAGAATTGTAGTTTTGTTCATTTCTCACAACCAGTATACAGTCTTCAGGCATAACACACCAGTTTTGTAAGTACCAGACTATTAGGTTTAGACCACTCACACCAGGATGTATACCTCTACTCTTTTTGATAACTCTGGTGGGTTAAACATGTTTAGAGCCATGTTGACGTTCTACTTACTGCAGTGTACATGAACTTGGTAACCTGAGCCAGGGTTACTTACTGCAGTGTACATGAACTTGGTAACCTGAGCCAGGGTTACTTACTGCAGTGTACATGAACTTGGTAACCAGAGCCAGTCTTACTTACTGCAGTGTACATGAACTTGGTAACCAGAGCCAGTCTTACTTACTGCAGTGTACATGAACTTGGTAACTGGAGCCAGGGTTACTTACTGCAGTGTACATGAACTTGGTAACTGGAGCCAGGGTTACTTACTGCAGTGTACATGAACTTGGTAACTGGAGCCAGGGTTACTTACTGCAGTGTACATGAACTTGGTAACTGGAGCCAGGGTTACTTACTGCAGTGTACATGAACTTGGTAACTGGAGCCAGGGTTACTTACTGCAGTGTACATGAACTTGGTAACTGGAGCCAGGGTTACTTACTGCAGTGTACATGAACTTGGTAACTGGAGCCAGGGTTACTTACTGCAGTGTACATGAACTTGGTAACTGGAGCCAGGGTTACTTACTGCAGTGTACATGAACTTGGTAACTGGAGCCAGGGTTACTTACTGCAGTGTACATGAACTTGGTAACTGGAGCCAGGGTTACTTACTGCAGTGTACATGAACTTGGTAACTGGAGCCAGGGTTACTTACTGCAGTGTACATGAACTTGGTAACTGGAGCCAGGGTTACTTACTGCAGTGTACATGAACTTGGTAACTGGAGCCAGGGTTACTTACTGCAGTGTACATGAACTTGGTAACTGGAGCCAGAGTTACTTACTGCCGTGTACATGAACTTGGTAACTGGAGCCACGTGGAAGTTGTAGATGGCCTGAAGCGGCCCAATGCCCTTTGACCCCAGTTGCCAGGAAACACTCAAAAGTCGCTTCGCTCTGCAGAAACAGAAGAAATATGAGCCAACCAGAGACACATCTGTGGAATCATCGTGACAATTTTTAGTTAGTAAATCAGTCCAAAAGGTAAGGAACACATACTAGACAGAAGAATTTCTGTTATCTCAAAAAAAAGTACAAAGCAGATTTCCAAGCACAGGTAGCTGTGTACCTTGTACGTGAGGTTTGTTCAGGCACAGGCCTACCTGTGCGTACCTGCATGTGCGTACCTACGCATGAAACTTGTGTGTACCTGTGCGTACCTGTGAGTTCTCTGGTCCACAAAGAGAGAGGAGAAGCAGCCAGAGGGGCTGGGAGGATGGAGGGAAGGAGAGAGAGAAGAGAAGGATGAGATCCTGGCTCTCTCCACACACAGCTCCATGGCCTGATCAGGACTTGTGTGTGAAGAGAGCCAGAAACAACAGGAGCTATCAGAACCAGGTACTAGAAATGAGCAAAAGGGTGAAAAAGACATCATCTGCAGACTAATGTTCAGGTTGAAATGTTGTGTCTTTCTCAACATAACATTTCCAGGTAATGACAGTTCTGTACCTGCAAACCTGATGAAGTGATTAGAACTCAAATACTTTCTTATCCCCCTTTGCACAATATAGGTATCTTACCTAGCCTTGAAACGGCCTACTGGGACCGAGTCAGGCTATACAGAAGTCTTATCTGTGTGTCACCTGTGCGGATACATGTATGTCTCACCTGTGCAGGTATGTCTCACCTGTGCAGGTATGTGTCACCTGTGCAGGTATGTGTCACCTGTGCAGGTATGTCTCACCTGTGCAGGTATGTCTCACCTGTGCAGGTATGTGTCACCTGTGCAGGTATGTCTCACCTGTGCGGATACATGTATGTCTCACCTGTGCAGGTATGTGTCACCTGTGCGGATATGTCTCACCTGTGCAGGTATGTCTCACCTGTGCAGGTATGTGTCACCTGTGCAGATATGTCTCACCTGTGCAGGTATGTCTCACCTGTGCGGGTATGTGTCACCTGTGCAGGTATGTCTCACCTGTGCAGATATGTCTCACTTGTGCAGGTATGTGTCACCTGTGCAGGTATGTCTCACCTGTGCAGGTATGTCTCACCTGTGCGGATATGTCTCACCTGTGCAGGTATGTCTCACCTGTGCAGGTATGTGTTACCTGAGCAGGTATGTGTCACCTGTGCAGGTATGTCTCACCTGTGCAGGTATGTGTTACCTGTGCAGGTAAGTCTCACCTGTGCAGGTATGTCTCACCTGTGCGGGTATGTGTCACCTGTGCAGGTATGTCTCACCTGTGCAGGTATGTGTCACCTGTGCAGGTATGTCTCACCTGTGCAGGTATGTGTCACCTGTGCAGGTATGTGTCACCTGTGCAGGTATGTGTCAACTGTGCAGGTATGTCTCACCTGTGCGGATATGTCTCACCTGTGCAGGTATGTCTCACCTGTGCGGGTATGTCTCACCTGTGCAGGTATGTCTCACCTGTGCAGGTATGTGTCACCTGTGCAGGTATGTCTCACCTGTGCGGGTATGTGTCACCTGTGCAGGAATGTCTCACCTGTGCAGGTATGTGTCACCTGTGCAGGTATGTCTCACCTGTGCAGGTATGTCTCACCTGTGCACGTATTTGTGTGGCCTGAAGCGGGGAGTTTTGCGCGGGGAGGCTACGGGGGAGTTGGGAGGAGAATCCGGAAGCTGATCCTCCTCCTGGTCCACAAACTTGATGGTGAAGATCATGAAGGGCAGAAACGTCGACAGGATCAGCTGGAACAACAAACGGGAGGGTCAACAACAGCAAAGGGGAGTTAAAAACACAACAATGTCGACAGGATCAACTGGAAGAAACCAGAGGGGAGGGAGGGAAGGAGAGAAGGAGGGAGGGAAGGAAGGAAGGAAGGAAGGAAGGAAGGAAGGAAAGAAGGAAAGAAAGAAGGAAGGAATAAAGCCTAACCTTCCACCATGATGTGTAGAGCGCCATCTTGTATGTATGTATGAATGAATGAATGATTGAATGAATGAAAGAGGGAAGGAAGGAATAAAGCCTAACCTTCCACCATGACGTGTAGAGCGCCATTTTGCCCTTCCAGATGAGGTTGAGTTTTGATTGACAGGCGGCATGACTCATGAAGTCGAGGTGCCGGCTGGACGAGGCGATCGCCATGCACGTCGTGTCGCCCCAGTTCTCCTGCCGACGGATCAGCAGGTCATGTGACTTCTTCTTGTCCAATCCGTAGCACTCGTTGATGACCCCTCGGGCAAGCTGCTCAAACTCGCTGCAAAGGGAAAAATGTTTGTCAAAATCACTATTATTATAATAGTATCTTGAAAGTTCATCTGTGTTGGTAGTTACACATGTTCAGTTAAAACTTTTGGTCCAACACAAAAAGTTCTTAGAGCTTTCGACCAGTCACTCTGGTCTTCCTCAGTGATGATGTCACAGAAGCCACGTGACAAGCTTCACTGGGTCAGTCTACTGAGGAAGACCAGAGTGACTGGTCGAAAGCTCTAGTTGAGAGAACTTTTGTGTTGGACCAAAAGTTTTAACTTAAAAGTTTGTCAAAATCATTTTTGCATTTGTGACACCGCCAAAACTCTCAACATATTTTGTGCATAGATTTGCATATATTTACATGTTAATGAGGCCAGGAACTAGTCTGCACAGTTGTTGAGATCCAGACTGAGATCACTGTGCATATATTTGCATATTAATGAGCTAGGGACCTACTCCGCATGGTTCTTGAGATCCAGACTGAGATCACTGTGCATATATTTGCATATTAATGAGCTAAGGACCTACTCCGCGTGGTTCATGAGATCCAGACTGAGATCACTGTGCATATATTTGCATATTAATGAGCTAAGGACCTACTCCGCGTGGTTCTTGAGATCCAGACTGAGATCACTGTGCATATATTTGCATATTAATGAGCTAAGGACCTACTCGGCATGGTTCTTGATATCCAGACTGAGATCACTGTGCATATATTTGCATATTAATGAGCTAGGGACCTACTCCGCATGGTTCTTGAGATCCAGACTGAGATCCAGCTCTTCCTCGGAATCCGCGACCTTGGCCAAGGACTTCAGGACCTTGCTGGCCGTCAGGGCTGACGCTGAAGGACGTGACAAAAAAGCACAGTTAGGAATGAGGAAGTCACATGGTAATATCTAATTTCATCAAATCAAGTGTGTGATGAGGATTTTTTTAAATCCTGCCAAAGATTGCAAACAGGAAAGTAAGACCTGTATCATGTCCAGGATTGTGCCTAGAATGGGATAGGGTCTAAGGATCAGGCACGGTTCTGGATAGTTTCTGCAAAGTCAATGTAAGGATTTGCACCAGACACAGTTCTGGATACACATGGACTCTCCATACAGAATCCTGCCTGAGCATGATTCTGGATATTGTTAAAGCCACAAACAACAACCACAAACAACAACTACACACAACAACCATCAACAACAACCACAAACAGCAAACATCAACAAGAACAAAATATGACTTCTCACCGATGTGGTCTCGGCCCATTCTGCAGAACAGCAGCCATCAACAACCACAAACAACAACCATCAACAACAACCACACATGCACAACAACCATCAAAGTACGCCTCTCACCGATGTGGTCCCGGCCCATGCGCCAGAACAGCAGAGCCAGCTCTCTCCGGTTCATCATGACCGCCCACAGCAAACATCAACAACCACAGACAACAACCATCAATAACAACCACACACAACAACCACAGACAACCACACACAACAACCACACACAACAATCATCAGAGAACAGGTTCTCACCGATGTGGTCCCTGCCCATGCGCCAGAAGAGCAGAGCCAGCTCTCTCCGGTTCATCATGACCGCCCACAGAAGCAGGTGCTGCATCGGGTTCTCAAACTCTGCCGGCATCTTACTTAGCGTCTTTCCCAGGTCCTGGACTGTCGCCTCCCGCACAAGGTACTTATCCTCACTGTAAATAACAACAACAACAGCAATGATCAGCAACAATAATCAACAAAATCAACAACAAAAATCAACAATCAACAACAAACAATAACCAACAACAAAAATCAACGATAATCAGCATCATCAATCATCAACAACAATCAACAACATCAACAATAATCAACAACAACAATCAACAATAATCAACAACAACCATCCACAACAACAACCCACCTGTAGAGGCTTGAGATCTGCCCCACGAGCAGCTTGGTGCAGATGACCTTGCCGACCAGAGGAAGAAGGTCGACCCTGTCCTCCTCGAGACGATCTCTGCTGCAGCAGGGGTTTAAGACGCCGACCTTCTCCTGCTCGACCAGCCCTCGGACCAGCTCTGCACTCGCCTCCACGTCTGCACTGCCCGTCATCACCTAGTAAACATGCACAGTGCTTAAAGTTCCACTTCGCATGGTCTATCCACTAGCAGTGTGCATGTAACTGCTCTCTGGTTATAGATAATTGATTTTTTAGTCTAAAACATTAATATATGGCGACCAGCCTCTCTAAC